TTAGCACCCTCCACTGTGAATATTGCTCATTTATACTCACTGTGTTCCCTATTAATTAGCCAGTTTCTGATCCACAAGAGGACTTATCCTTTTATCCCATGACTACTGAGCTTACTTAGGAGCTTGGGATGAGGAGCTTTATCAAAAGCTTTTTGGAAGTCAAGGTAAACAACATCTACTGGGTCTCCCTTGTTCACTTGTTTGTTCAGCCCCTCAAAGAACACTAACAGGTTAGTGAGACAAGATCTTCCCTTACAGAACCCATGCTGAGTCTTCCTCAATAGTTTTTGTTCATCATGTATCAATGCATCCATAATGCTGCACATCAGTGCCCAAAACCTCTTGTTATGAAGTCTCTGTGTTCTTGGCCAACTTAATCCTGTTGTTGTTGTTGTTGTTGTTGTTGTTCAGTCGCACAGTCCAGTCCAACTCTTCGCGACCCCATGGACCAGATCACGCCAGGCCTTCCTGTCTTCCACCATCCTCTGAAGTTGGCTCAATTTCATGTTCGTTGCATCTATGACACTGTCTAACCATCTCATCCTTTGCCGTCCCCGTCTTCTTTGACCTTCAATCCTGTTAAGATTTTATAAATAAACTGCTTGGCTTAGTTTATTTAGTGGTGCTAGACAGCTGTTATTTTTCAGGGTGTTACCCCTAGGCAGTAGTCATTTTGGGCCTAGGCAGTTGTCATAGTAACACCAAGCCTGTTATTAATTTAGCCCATTGAACAACATGACAGGGCTGCTGTTATTAAATGTCTTTTCAAACTTCAAAGTGGCAGAACACAACACAGCTGATGGAAATCGATTTCTAAAGGCATTATTTCTCATCAGGAAAAAGGAAAAAGATTGAATGTCTCTTGTAGCAATGTAAAACAGACTTATTGTTTATTTTTTTTAACTTCCTTTCTTTAACCAAATTATTTTGTACATCAGAAGCTTTATGTACATCAGAAGGATGAAATCGGAAAACTTGCCTGGAGCTATAAAAGTACAGAAACAATAATGGAATATACATGACTCCCCCCCCCCCATATATTTAATAAAATTGTATGAGATTTTTCATTCAGTCAGATCAAAGCATCTAAGCCCTTCTCGTCCCTCAGCCACTCAATACCATTCAGGTCAGCTCTCCTCGTGCTAGGGTTAACAGCTTTACTCCAAGCTTCACAGAAATGACTGTATGATTTTTGGATAGAAATATTTGCACACATTGATTTCATTCACTCATGTGGCCAGCATGACTAAATGCTGAGGCGCATGGAACGCTGTTACCTTCCCACCGAAGCGGTACCCATTTATCTACCAGCAATTTCTTGCTTTCGAACTGCTAGGTTGGCAGGAGCTGGGGCCAGAGACGGTAGCTCACTGGGTGCGTTCAGACGGGGCATTTACAACGGTATAGGTGCCAGTTGGAATCGGTGTACTTACTGGCGTTCACACGTAGAACATCTGCCTTCCGTTCCTAACCGTTGCAAAGAGCTTTAAACCGTTGTATTCTGCCACTAGGTCCCCAAGTGGTAGTATCCTGAGTGCAACGGTTATAACCGCTTTACCCCCCCGTCTGATCGCTCTCCACCGTTGTAGAGCCACTTTCGTTCGGAAGCCTGAGGCTTCCGATTTTCACCCACCATTTTTTTTGTTAGGTTGGCAATATGCGCTTGGGTGAAGCTTCGCCCCAGTGTTTGTTTTTTAAAAAGAAAAGGTTTAGTTTAACGTTTTAGAGGAGTCCGGGACCTCAGGGAGGCCAGTTTGCTCTTTAAACTTTAAAGGTAAGTCCTCTCTTCAGGGCATGCTTTTCTGGACGGGGTGTTTTGCGCATGCGTGAAGATCACTATTCTGTGGATGGCTGCCTATGCGCATGCGCAAACTAATTTAAAAAACAACAACAAACTGCCGATGCCCGCTGTGTGTGAATGGGCATACAGCGATGGGCTCCTCAGACAGGAGGTAAGTGCGATCGCGTTTCAGCTGGCATAAACTGCACCGGTTGGAACTGGTGCAGTTTATGCCGGCTGAAACGCCCCGTATGAATGCACCCACTATGTCACATGGCACTTGGCTCTTGAACTCCCGAACTACCTGACCTTCCAGTCTGCAGCTCAGCATCTTAACCTCTGGGCCACCGTGGCTCAGAAACAGCCAGGTCAAGTAAGAGCTGGCAAATGTACTGATGGTAGGAAGATTTATGAGTGGAACCTACGACTGCAATCACTAGCAATGATATGCTGTAATCATCCAAATGAGCTACAGTGCAATCCTAAATGGTAATTGAGCTAAGAAAGTTGTAACTCTGTTTAGGATTGCACTGACAAGAATTTGCTTATTTCTTTAAAACATTTATTATCCATCTTCCTTCTTTACGGAGCTCAAGAAGCTTACAATGTGGAATGTAGTCCATTTGGGGGAGGCGTGTATGTGTGTACACACACTTCTACAATGATTTCTCGCTTTAAAAATTGTATTCTGGAAATTTATTAAAAGACGCATCAAGGAGGGGTGGAAGGTGCCAAAAATACCACAATTCCAAGAGAGGGAGAAGATAGGGGTGCCACATAAGCCACAAGGAGGAGCTTCACCAAGCCAACCGTCAAAGACTGTCTGTCTGTGTCCGGGGTTTCCTAGTCATTTGCCTGGATCATCTGTGAAGCTTTGCCCCGGGTTGACTGGCTAGTTGTTAATATTGTCGTGATTTTAATGGAAAGCCACCTTGAGTGGGACTCTGAAGAAGCAGCATAGACAATCCTCAATAAATGTATACTGGCAATATTTCAGGTCTCACTTCTTCCTGAAGCCATTTCTATTTGAGATGGTGTGTCTGTACCTGCGAGAAAAATCTTCATTGATAATCTGTTCTTCATATTCATTATTCTTTTCATGTTTAATAAAATTGGGTCGTCTTCTTACCTCTCGTGGTCTACATGCGTGGAATCCTAAAAGCACACACTTGTTTCCTCTTGTAACGGCCGGTAAAACCAACAGGGGCCAAGAATAATCCAGCTTCAGTCTCAGTAACAGAAATCAAAAACAAACATCAATCCGGCAAATGTAATAATCCCTAGATCAGCATCAATTAAATCAAAAGCCTGAAAAACACGCTTTTCCATCTTAAACTAGCAATACTAGCAGATTATCTCTGTATTTTTTCCTGATTAGATTTGAATTTTACAGTTCGCTTTGTGCTTCCAGCATTTCATGGTTCCTTAAGGCTGCTGTTTCATTTCTTTTCCATACATCTGCATAATATACCACATCGTAATGATCCACTCAGTGCATCGGAAGAAGTGGGCTCTAGTCCACAAAAACTTTTGCTGGAATAAAAGTTCGTTTATTTTGTCATGTGGTCCAAGACTCATCTTTATGTTTGCTGCAACAAAACAACATGGCAACCCCTCTGTAATAATTGTTGTATGTCCCCATCACAACTAGAATGTGAACAGTGTAGGTTGTGTTGATACTTGTGTACTGCAGCACACACTGGATCGTCTGTTTGGTTGCTATACCATGCACCCAGTTTGTAAATCTTCCCATATGTATTGCACCATAACAGAGCTGCAAAAGCAAGTTGAATGGTGTTGTTTGCCACATCACTTTAGTCATGTGAACTGGCTTTCAGCCAAGTGGACATTGCTCCATTGACCTTTAGATGTGCAAACCAGTTTGAAAGAAGGAAAGGCAACTGAGGACTTGCATCTGTCTCATCTTAGGAAACATTGCTAACAATGGTGTGGCCACTGTTGTTTGAGGAAATATAGGTGACAAAACTGGGAAGTATATGTTTGCATATAAACCGATATATCCCATAGATAAAACCAAGTGCTAATATTTGAATGCTGGGTTTTAGCAGAATTTCCAAATCCGTGCCATGTTCCTCTTGAACATGATAATACTAGAAATAACGTAACATGGTCATCACAGGTTTCCCAGATGCCATGATCCACTCACAGTCAAATGATTTCTCAGCGGCAGAAATTAAATTTTAAGGAGTGCCTAATCTGTGCAACATAAGGCACAAGACTTCTACAGGTTGTCACAGTTCAGTGTTCAGGGTCCCACACCAATGTGGCATAAAGCACTGGAAGACCTGAAAATCCACAGGAATCTCATGCACATCAGATAATGGCCTCAAATTTCATCTGGTCTCCTGTATAGGTGCAGTACTGAAATCTGAACCCAGAGGTCATTTCGGGGGGGGGGGTCATGGGGAATCGCAGTTCCCCCGGGTGAGGTACAGGGGACGGGGCACATGACGAAGCCCCGCCCCCTGCTTCCAGCCGCCCCGCTTCCAGCCCTCATTCAGCCAGGAGGAGGCAGGAGAAGAGGGAGGGTAAGTTGCTTCCTCCCTGCCTCTCCCCACCCCTGCCTGCCTGGGGCCAGGGAGGGCCTTCGCGGGGCTTCCTTGCACTCCCGCCGGCCTTGCAGGTCCACCACCGGGCCCCTCATGGGGCTTGGCAGTGGAGCTGCAAGGCCGCCACTGGCGGCCGGGACCATTGGGGGCGGGGTGTTTGACCTTATGACACACTTCCGGTGATGTCAGGGGGCGTGGCCTTATGACACACTTCCGGTGATGTCAGGGGGTGTGGCATATGCTAATGAGTTATGCTAATGAGTTCCCCTAGCTCTTTTTCTACGAAATGACCCCTGTCTGAACCATATCCCACCTTGAGTACAATTTGTCAGCAAGTCTTGAATTTCTAGAACTGCCTTCAGATGTTCTTTGATCCTGGTTATAATATCATGGCAGCTTGTCCAAAGTTCTAGTTATCAGACTTGGGACTTTCTAGGCATTGCTTATGTTGGCTTCTTATATGCCAGGTTGTGGGATCTCATTGTGTGGATGCAAATGACTCTAGCCAGCATGCTTTTTTCTTTTTCTTTACAAATGAACTTTATTGATTGAATGAAAACATGATGGTTTTGCTCAATATAAAAGAGTATAACAAACTGCTGCGTTGACATAATAAAATGAGGTTGTCACATGTACCAAGGCCACCATCTTTAGCTCAGGCAGCTCTTGCAGCGTTGCAACCCATTCTCATTGCAAGCGGTGCACTTGAGGGCCTTGAATGAGTCTGTAAAACAGTTCCGAAAGACGGACATCTTGCTCCCATGGCACGCTGAGCACGGAATAAAACCAAAGCCCCCGCAGGAGAGGCATGCATGGGGGTGCTGAACTCTCTGCAAAAGATAGAGAGAGAGAGAGAGAGAGAGAAAACCACTACTCATTATTTGCAATACAATCTGGATTGTGAACAGGGCTGCCAGCTGGAGATCTCCTGGGATTGCAATTGATCTCTAGGTGATAGAGATCGGCTGCTGTGGAAGAAATGGCTGTTTTGGAGGGGGACTCTGTGCCATTATGCTCTGCTGAGGCCCCTCCCCTCCCCAAACCCTGCCTTCCTCAGGTTACATTCCCCAAAATCTCCAGGTAGTTCCCAACCCGTAGTTGGCAACCCTAATTGTGAATCAGGCCATGAAGGTCAATCCTTATTCGGTGAACCTTTGGCTCTTGTAGTGTCCCTAAATTCTATTTTCCCTGTCATTTTTGGCCATTAATAGCATCATCCCATCGCTAGCCAGTTTTGTTACTGACATAGCCTACGTAACAAAAGCTGTACTCATTTTCCATCAGTCTACCTAGAGTCACCAAACTCAACACTGGCATTTTGATTAAAGTGGAATTGACAATGAATGTGCATGGGGGGGGGGGGAGAGTGACAGTTAACGAGCAACATCCAAAACCTCTTGACAGAAGCAAAACAGTTTCAAATACAGATACTAGGAATTTTTTGCAGCCCCACCATTATGAGTTCATCCCCCTCCATCAGATTTCCCCCCCCCCTCTATTGTGCAAACAGAAGCTGTGAATCTTCATCTTTATGTAATTTTCATTTTCCTTCTGGAAATATCTCATCCAGATTCCATGCATTGCTACCAAACGGATGTGCCAGAAGGCCTAAGCTGATCGTGTTTCCTTTATGGTCTCATTAGACTTCCAAGGAACCTAATTTAGAAATAGGAGATCTGCTTGATTTGATCTCCTTTTAATCGGGAGGCTGATGTTTAAAAATGCATTACTTATCAAAATAAATTCAGAATTGCTTAAAGTATGGCATCAAAAGATTGTACAACCGATGTGATCCTCGGCCCTCCTACTTCTTCAGTCCTCTCTAAGGACTCATTTGCCTTGGAATCACACCGGAGTGGAATCGATACCACACAGAGAAATTAAATCAACATTCTTACTTTGTTTCTTTTTGTTTGTTCTATATAAGACACCATAATTTGTCATAAAATAACAAAAAGCCCTTTGAGGAGAACAACAGTAGTGCATATCCAGCAGTTCTGTCGGAAAAATGAAATCTATGAAAAGAGTCCGCATGAAAACAGAGGAGGAGAGAACAGATAAAAGTTTTAAAATATCTCAACATTTGAAGGCAAGAAACAATAACGCATATCAAATGTGCTGAATCGAAGAGGAGCTGGCAAAGAATAAAAAGGGACAGAGAAGCACGAGAAAAACAAGAATTTGTTTTTAAAAGGTCATCTGCCTTCCAGATATTCTAACTGGCTATAAAGGGATATGCTTCAGTCTAGTAGATGTCCCTTAAAGTGGGTGTCTCGTCTCCTTAGCCTCCAAGTCTTATTTATTTATTTGCTGTCAAATCGCAGCTGACTTATGGCGACCCTGTGGGGTTTTTCAAGACAAGAGACATTTAGGAGTGATCTGCCATTGTCTCCTTCTGTGTCACAACCCTGGTATTCCTTAGTGGTCTCCCTTTCCAATACAGACCAGGGCTGACCCTGCTTAGCTTCCGAGATCTGAAGAGATCTGGCTGCCCTGGGCCATCCAGGTCAGGCCGGCTCCAATATAGGTGAGGGCAATTTTCTTACTCATGTTGGTGGTCCCTGGCCCTAAGGATATCTGGCTGTCCTCGACCAGGGCTAGAGTCTTTTTAGCCCTGGGCCCAACCTGGTGGAACTCTCTGCTGAAAACCACCAGGGCCCTGCGGGACCTTACGCAATTCCGCAGGGCCCGCAAGGCAGACACGTTCCACCAGGCTTCTGGTTGAGGACGGCGACAGCTTTCATCTTGGCTGGCACCCGCCTCTGTTTTCCCTTAGGGTTGCCAAGTCAAATTTTCTTACCGGCGGGGGAGCCTCGCCGTGCTCCGGGAGCCGTTCTTCGATGTGCGCGCGCGCCGCCAGCACGTCACCGAAAGTGACGCGCGACGTCGATCACGTTGAACCCGTGACCCAGATCGTCGGAGGGAAAACCATAGAGTTTTCCCTCCAACGATCGGGGCCACATCCCCAACGTGATTGACGTGGTTGCGTCACCTCCAGTGACACAGCCACGCTGCGCTTCGGGGGGCGGAGTTCCCCCCGGGGCCCGATTTCCACCACGCCTCTGAAGCGGGGGTTTACCCACCCCCACTTGGCAGCCCTAGTTTTCCCTGCTCCTTTCGACCTCTTCCCCCCTGCCTGCGACACGGCCAGTTGTCTGTAATATGGGAACAATTAATTAATAAGTGTCAGTATTCGCCATCTGTTTTTTTAAAAAATGTATTCTATGATTTATTGTTTTTATCTGGTCAGTGTTTTTAACATTATTGTACATTGCCCAGAGCCCTGCGGTAGCAGGGATGGGGTGGTTCATAAATTAAATAAATAAATAAATAAATAATGGCACTTGGGGGGGGAACTGCCGTATCCCCTGGACACTTGGCTTAGGATGGGACTCATGCTGAAGTGACATGTCATCCTACATGTGTGGCTCCTGCTACAATGGCAGAGTTGAGGGGGGAAAGATCCCCTTCTGCCCTCCTCATTGGCTCCTACAAGAACGCCTGTTTACGAAGAAAACACAAAGTAAGCAACCCGATGTTTTCCTCATAACACGAAGCCTGGCACTTGCTGGTGACACAGTTAGGCACATGGTTGGAGACTTTTATGTTGCTGTCTTCTTGTAAAGGAAACTGAGTACAACTATAAGTGTACCACAAAGCTATGTACAATATGTACCCAAAACTATCAACATACACTCTCACCAACATGCAAAAAGAAAGCACACAGCATTTACTTTGTGTAAGCCTTATTCTTATCAACTGCAGTCCAACGTTCCCTCTAAGCTGTGGAGTCTTGTGAGCTAAAATTCTATTTTGTGAGCTACCACCATTGAAGTTGTGAGTGAGCGATTTGGCTACTGCATAAATTAGTTTGCTCTGGAGCCATCCTTCCTGAGCGAAGACAAAAATGTGTGAGCCAGAAGCTAGAAAACTGTGAGCTAGCTCACACTAACTCAGCTTAGAGGGAACACTGCTGCAGACCTTTATCAACCCAAATGTTAAAGACAGTCACTCAAAACATTTGAATTACCAGGTTTTTCAAGGAACTGCTTTACTTTTTTCATGTGTTTATGTCAATGTGATGCACCATGGGAGGTTCTGGCAAAGAAACTTGAGTGACTTATGTGTGGGAAGACGAGATTTTAATGTGTAGTGTACTATAAACTCTGTAAAAACACAATTACCTCAATTTTGGTTAAGAGATCCTGCAGTTCCCCCGATTCATTCATTGACAAAATTTTCTCAGCACCCTGTGAGAAAGCACATAAAATCTGTTATTTTAATGTTGAGAGGTTTGAGTCTGAAAAGGTAACTGAGAAATGAAACCATAAAACTGTTTCCTCCAAATGAAATTTGTCAAAGCATAATCATGCTTCACATGAACACACATGAACACATGGGGCTGCCTTATACTGTGTGGCCTCTGGTACTTTCTTTGGTTTTCTACTGAATCAGACCATTGGTCCATCAAGATCAATATTGTCAATACTGTCTACTCAGACTGACAGCAGCTCTCTAAGGTCTCCGGTAGAGGTCCTTCACATCACCTACTACTTGATCCTTTTAGCTGGAGATGCCAGAGATTCAACCTGGGACCTTCTGTGTGCCAAGCATATGCTGTGCCACTTATTTATTTAAAGCACCCATGTCCTGGACTCTCCACCAAAGTGCCTGAGACAGCTCATTAATCACACTAAAAACAGAGCATGTAGTACCCATAAAAGCAGCTCAGTGAAAACAGGGCAATAAAATGACTCCAATGCAATCAAGGAACCAATTAAAAGCTTGGAACAATGAAAAAGTCTTCACCTTGCCCCTACAGACAGTAAATTCAACACCAGCTGAACCTCAGCAGGGAGGAAACTCCAAAATGTGGGCACCACAACAGAAAAGACCCAACCCTTACATTCCCCCACTGCACCTCTGACCATTGAAGTACACAGAGCCGTGAAAGCCCTGATTGGGTGGATCGGGTTAGAACGGATAAAAGGAAGTACTTCTTCACCCAAAGAGTGATTAACACATGGAATTCACTGCCACAGGGAGTGGTGGCGGCTACAAGCATGGACAGCTTCAAAAGGGAATTAGATAAGCATATGGAGCAGAGGTCCATCAGTGGCTATTAGCCACAAGGTATAGATAGGGGCTCTGGGGCAAGGGATGCTCTGTCATCTTGGTGCTTGGGGGGGGGGGTCAACAGTGGGAGGGCTTCTAATGTCCTGGCCCCACTGGTGGACCTCCTGATGGCACTGGTATTTCTGGCCACTGTGTGATACAGAGTGTTGGACTGGATGGGCCTTTGGCCTGATCCAACATTGGCATCTCTTATGTTCTTATGTTCTTAATGGCAGCATTAAAATGTTTTTAAAAATAAATGTGTTCGATGATGATCTCAACTGAAGGGCACGTCAGACAGGAGAAGATGATCAGGAGAAGAAGGTCTCCTGGTCCAGGGCTGTGTAGGACTCTGTGAGTAATAACCTGAACTTTGAATTGTGCCCAGTAGCAAAAGAGGAGCCAGTCTTTTGGAACCTGAGAAATACAATCCCATGATCATAAACCTGCTAGTAGCCTAATCACTGCATTCTGGATCTGCTGAAGCTTGCAAACAGTATTCAAGGGCAGCCCCACACAGAATGCATTACAGTAGACCAGTTTATATGTAACCAGCGCAAGGATAACTGGGGTCAGATCATGGGAAAGGGCCACAGTTAACAGATGAAGCAGCTAAAAGGTGTTATGTACTCCGGAGGACATTGCCCAAGATTTACCTGTTCAGTAGATTACATACAGTGTGTTGCACGAACACTGAGACTTTTGCTCCTCTTTTTAAAGTACATACTTTTTTTAAAAAAAAGGGGGGGGAGGCATCTTGTTAATATGTCTGGGAGGCAATTTGTTAAATATATAGTGCATCAGAGAATGTAACTAAAGGAGCATGAGAAAAACAGCAATTATTTCAGTATTTCCAGCACTGAATGCATATAGAGTATGTTGAGAATGTGATAGCCTGGGAACAAATGTGATAAAAAATACTATAGCAATGCCAAGAAAAATCAAAAATCAATGGAGAATAATAAAATTATTTAGGTTGAGTACATTGGACCTTGGGGAATTTCTGAGTGCTAAAGCAAGACAGTAATGAAGAAGCGCTCCATTTTTCTTCTTGAAAGTACATGGAGTTACTGTAAAGAAAATGAAACTGCCAGAGAAGATATAAAACACCTTCTGCTAATCAGAGAGGACTCTTTTGAAGACTGAAGCCGCACTACCCATTTTGTTTTGTTTTTAAAATTTAATATGCATCTCACACTGAGGGTTTGCAAATGATTCTGTTAGCACCGAGCCAAACTCTTCTTTGGGGGCACTGTTCCTACAATCTGCGTGAAAAGATTCATGTAGGCAGTAACAATGACTGCATACTTTCAGTGGTAGCATCTGGTCACTAAACTGGCTACTGGCACTATGGCATCATTGTCTTCACTGCAGGATCCCTGACTAGATGAGATCCACTACTCCAGAAAGAAGCAAGAACCAGCGGTTGAGGCAGAAATGGTACTCAAGAAATAGCACCCATGGAAACAGTGAAACCGGTCAGGATTTTTGTTTTTAAAAAATGAATACGACCGCAGCTGGATTTAAGGATCTGCGGACTGGGTAGTAATCCCATATGGGTGTTAAAAGAGGCATAGCATATCTCTCACCCTTTCCAAAAGTATGCACCAGGAAACATATATAACATATCAGCCGTAAGTACAAAGAAGACACCCTTTCTAAATTCACTTCTCTTTAAGTCATGTTATGGTGATGTTGTAGTATGGATGCCAGACCACCCAGTGCGGGCGGGGGTCCCCCACTCCTCTCTGGCCCCCATTACCCCCCAACAGGCAAGAAACCAAAAATAAATGTCACATGCCTACATGTCCCAGAAGAAGCTAATTCTACCATAGAGTTTTGCCCCAAAACCACAGCGTCTCTCCCTGACGTCCCTATGTCACTTCCAGGTCATGTAGGCACATTGTGTGTATTTTCAGCATTCCTCCCCACTTCTGGTAAGTTTACCCCCCTCCCATCCCCCGCCAGCCAGTCCAAGGGACTTGGTGACCCTCAATGCAATGCACTGCCATATATGGAACATGGATCAGTAACAGTCCACTGCAAGGAGACATAGGGAGTGATTTCCCACAAGCGCTGCTCCGCGCTCACTCTTCTCTTTGGCCCGATGGTACATGTCAATTTCACACAAGCTGGTGCGTGGCCGCATTTTGCCCCGCAGCTTTGTGCGATTTGCCCCGTGTCTACTCAATCCTGTTTTTTGAAGATTGAGTAGATGCGGGGAAAATCGCACAAAGCTGCGGGGCAAAATGTGGCCGCACAGCAGCTTGTGTGAAATTGACACGTACCATCGAGGCAAAAGGGAGGAGTGAGCACGGCGCTTTTTGGAAATCACCCATACTGTTTTCCCAGGTCTTTGATAATCAGGAAGGTAACACCTGCTTCAGGATCCTGTTCTTTCCTGGATCTTTCCCCCTAAGGGCATCCTAACCCAAATGGGGCCTACCATACAATGAAAATCAGTGTTGTGCATAACAGCAGCATTCAGGATAAGTTGTTTCTCATGTAGTATATAATGTATATAATGTACAGGGTCTACAGGTGTCAAAAGTATGTTTAGCCCTATTTAGTAATTTTACGGTGCTATCCTAAACATAGATACACCCATCTAAGCCCATTGACGTCAACAGGCTTGAAAAGGAAGAAATTTGTTTAGGATTGTATTGTTAAAAATATTTTGTCATGGTAATTACTATTTCGTACAATTGTACATTTCTCCATAAACAATAGAAAGAAAAGAAACCCCATGAAGAGCATTTTAGCAACTTATCAGGACTGAAACATCGCTTGTATTTAAAGACCTCCTCCGACATCTCCAGTTTTGGTCTTCCTGCCCCCCCCTTCCATTTTCTTGTTATGCAACGATCTCTCAATCAATAAAATTCACCAAGTATATCTAAGTGTCTTGCTCACTGTACCCATTGTTCTCTCTTTATGGCTCAAGGAGGCAGGAAAGCATGTCACGGTCCAAAAATCTGGCATCCCTGCTCTGTCCGTGGAGACTTTTGTTGCAGGAGTTTTGTACTCAGTTGTGGACATCCCCTACACCAGCAGCCACCCTTGTTGTTAAGGTGGGATGTGTCTTCTTCCCCTCAGTGGCAGAATCCAGATTCTACTGTTTTGGAAAGGCTTGACTTGGCACTTCTTATTGATCTTGATCCCAGAGGTCATTGGGTATTTCTGAAAGGCCTTAAAAAGGATATTTCTGTTTGCATAAATGTACAGATTGAGAGCCAGTTTGGTGTCGTGGTTAAGTGCGCGGACTCTAATCTGGGGGAAACTGGGTTTGATTCCCCACTCCTCCACTCGCAGCTGCTGGATGGCCTTGGCCATAGTTCTGTCAGAGCTGTTCTTGAAAAAGAGCAGTTTCTGTCAAGAGGTCTCTCAGCCCCACCTACCTCACAGGGTGTCTGTTGTGGGGAGGGGAAGGGAAAGGAGTTTGTAAGCCGCTCTGAGACACCTTTGGGTAGTGAAGGGCAGGGTATGAATCCAATCTCTTCTTCTTCTTCAGATATCCCCCCCCAAAAAAACCCTTTCAGTGGCTTGGCTATCTGACAAAAGTTTCCACTGCCCCAAGTATCTCAGTTAGCAGAGCACGACTTCTCTACTTCTTTCTCTTGCTGCAGCCCGTAACATCCCCCCCCCCCAAATGCTGCTCATGAGGGGTAGGAATAGACTCTGAGGCTGACAACGGGAGTCTTAACGCTTGAAAGCTAGTACCCCGAAAATAGGAGCAGTCTGTGCGGGGGAATCTGAGGCTGACATTGGGAGTCTTAACCTGACTACGGTGGGGCTATTGGGGGCGCGCTATTGGGGGCTCCTCCCCCTTCCTTAAATGGCCTCGGTTCCTCAAGGGCCCCTCCGCTTCTTCTCACAAGCATTTAAAGGGATCCTCACGAAATAAAACGTGAGTTTATAAAGTACGGCTACCATTATTTGTCATAATGAAGGGGGGGCGGCGTGTGCCCCTCCCCCTCCCTCCTGCAAGGGCCCTCCGGTTGGTCGTCGGTTCAGGTGCTCCCCGCTGATCAGCTTAAGGGCCCTTTAAATCTTGCAGGAGGGGAGAGAGAGGGGGGTGCATGCCACCTCCTCTTCATTACGGCAGATAATGGCAGCCCCATGGGGGGGGGGGAAT